TGGTAGGGTCTCGAGTTTTTGCCCAGGGCCACTTCCTACACTTGTCTCCTACCTATACCTCCCAGTAGCTGGGATCGCAGGTGTCCTACAATTCCCGTGTATTGGTTGAGATGGGGTCCTGTTATCTTTTTTGCCTAGGTTGGCCTTAAACCACAGTCTTCTTGATGTCAGCCTCCCAAGTAGCTAGGATTATAGTTGTGAGTCACCAGTACCTGGCTGGTGTACCATTTTAGACTGAAGAGGTGAATGGTGGTCTTTGAGCTCTTACCTTTAGCAAGTCCTGACCCTCCCCCCATATCTCTTAGGGTTTTCACCCACTCCTTGCACACAGATCTTGACAGGCAAGCAGCTTCCTGTGTGTCCCTAGCCTCTTCCTTGTTCAAGTAGGATCCTGACTTCCCTTGTCTGCAGACTCCCCACATCCCTTAGATGCTTTGGGGTGTGAACAAGAAGACAAGGCCCCACTGTACACTGGGTCTAAAGCCAGCTGGGAAGGAGGACTAGGGAGTGAAGCCTGGGCATGCCTTGAGCCCATTTGTGCAGCAGTCTTACACTGCGTATTAAGTCTCCTACAGTTCACAGAAAGAGGTGGGAACCATCACTGCCAGAGTCACATGAGAATAGGATCATTTCTCCCATTTCACACATGAGGAATGACACTGGAGCTAAGGTTGAGTCAAGCCTCAACCTGCCTGTAGCTGGAATTCCTAGTGAAAAAAATTTCTTGTGAGCTTCCTGTATGGTAAGACTATTGTTTTGGGATGAGTTCTGGATTTTCTGGGGGCCACATCTGTCAGAAGGAACTTTCATATCCTGCTTCACCTTAGGCCTTAGGAGGAAGAGAAGTGGTCCAGAGACTGTAAGCTCCTGTAAATGAGGGGCTCTTACTCTGTCAAGGTAGAGCAGATATTTCATACTCAAGCCCCTCTATTGTGAGCCAGGCCCTGAGATGAGTGTCCTGGGGCAGGAGGGTGGGGTGGGGGTGATGCTAGTGGAATCTCTGGGGTTCTGGACCTGCCAGCTCTTTGGGCATATTCAGACTTCCCGTAAATGGCCTTGAAAATGCAGAGGTGCCAATTTGCCTGTGACTTGGCCAGGTTCCTATCAAATTCAGATTTCTGTGGCCCTTTTCTTAAAATGAATGATTGCCATGGAAAATGCTGCTTGGGCCTAATACTTCCAGTATTAAGATGCCAAGAGGTAAGGGGCTAATGTCCAGGTTAATGCCTTTTCTTCCTAGTTGAGTAGTACCCATAACCCCAAGGAGAATGCCTGTTTCAGGGCTATAAATCCAGTGCATGGCTAGGGCTCCAGGACCCTGGGGTGTCAGACCCTACAAAAGGTAAAGCAGATAGACAGATTAGAGGGACTTGGCTCTGTTTTTCTGACATAGCTTGCTCCAAAAGTCTATAAAACTGTGGGTAAATGATTTAAAAAAAAATTTGTTCTCAATCAAAATAAAGCTATCAATTCTCTCCCTTTTTTTTCTTCCCTGAGATGGGATTCCCTGTTTTGCCCAGGTGGGCCTTGAACTCCTGGGCTCAAGCAATTCTTCTACCTCAGCATTCTAAGTAGCTGGGACTATAGGCACAAGCTATTGAGCCAAGCCTAAAGCCACCAATTATTGTCTTCCATCTCTTTATTTGAAATTGAGCATTGCCACTTGCTTTGGTGAAACCAGGGGTTTTTGTTTGTTTTTATTATGTATGTTACAAAATATTAACATGCTATCATACTTGGCAGAATTTAAATAAGTTTATGGGCTCTCAAGACTTACAGCCTTGACTGTAGAGTGGTATGAGCTTATTCCATAGGAAATGTCTGAGAGCCAAACATTGACTTTTGGGGTCAGTAGAATAGTAAGACTGAGGAAGTAGGGCCTTTCTCTATTTTCTGGGCTAGAAAGTGCCTTTGTGTAGAGGCAAACTAGCAGAAGCACCAGGCTGTTTCCTTATCCATGCTGATGAAGCACACAGGGCTGAGCATAGCTGCATGGCCAGTCATATATATTCCATGTTCTTGCCAACCAGTTGGCTCCCACCTCTGGAAATTTTTCTGTTCTGTCCCAGCCATGTTCAGTCTCCTCTGTAAGTGACTTCTCCTTGACTAGCTTTATCCAGAGTTCTATTCCAAGCCTTTCTTGTTTCCTCCCACATGAGTTCCTGTTCCTGTAGTGGGCTTTGAGATGGAATGGATTTAGGAAACACCCTTAGGTGGCTGGGTCCACATTCTAACTCACCTACTTTCCTCATCTTAGGACCGCCCCCTCCCCAACACACACTTCTATTCCACCCTTTTAAAACATTTCACAGTTCTGTGAACACTATCTTTGTATCTTTTTTTTTTTCTCAAAATAAGAACATCCCAGGCACCGGTGACTCATACCTGTAATCCTAGCTACTCAGGAGGCAGAGATCAAGCGCATCATCATTTGAAGCCAGCCCAGGCAAATAGTTAGCAAAACTCTATTTTGAAAATACCCAATACAAAAAAGGGCTGGCAGAGTGGCTCAAGTGGTAGAGCACCTGCCTAGCAAGCATGAGGCCCTAAGTTCAAGCCCCAGTGTTGAAAAAAAAAAAAAAAACAACATTCAACCTTTGTTTTGGCTGTGGCACTTTTCATACTTAATGTAAATGAACTGAAAAAATTTAAAGTATAGAGTTTTCAGCCAAAACATTTGAAATAAGTATGATATCTATACTTAAAAAAGATTTTAAGGAAAAATATATTTAGTATTCATGGTTTGTAGGACAGTGCCGTTTACAGAAATTTTAACATTTCTAATAGTCAGCTGTGGCAGAACACTGCCTACAATCCTAGCACTCAGGAGACTGAGGCAGGAGGATCATGAATTCAAGGCTAGCCTGGGGTATATAATGAGCTCAAGGCCAGCCTGAGCTCTACAAAGAAACAAAACAGGAAAATAGTACTGGTAGAGTGGCTCAAGTGGTAGAGTGCCTGCTAAGCGAGTGTGAGGTCTTGGGTTCAAACCCCAAGTACTGCCCATAAAAACCCCAACAAAACAAAACCCCCACATTTCTGTGTTTGATGATGAATAACAGGATGAGAGATTCTTTTTGGTGCATTAACTAGCTGATGGTGCACCATAGAATTGATGGAATGTGGTGTCACAAAAGAAATGCCATTCACAGACCCTCATTAAATGTCTCAGCAATGAGGAGAGAATAACCCCAATAATAATAAGAATAGCTCCATAATAATGTCATTTGGCTTCTTGTTGGCTTTTACTGGAGGTAGGAAACCTGTTTGGACTAGTTTAAATGGGGGAAAATGAAAAGTCTCTGATAAGATTGCTGCTGGACACCTGGGTCCTGACTGGGGATATGAGATTTTATTTTAATTTACTTATTTTGCTAGGCTGGAGCCCTGCCATTTGAGTTATTCCTCCTAGCTCTTTTTGCTTTAGTTCTTTTTCAGATAAGATCTCATATTTTTGCCTGGGGCTACCCTTGGGCCTCCTCTATCTTCTTCTGCCTTGTAGCTGTGATCACACCACACCTGGCTTATTTTTTGAGATAAGGTCTTAAGGTCTCATTAACTTTCATGGGGGCTAGCCTTGAACCTTGATGCTTTCATCTTTGTCTTCCAAGTAGCGGAATTACAGGTGTGCACCACCACGCCTGGCCCAGAATATCAGATATGAGTCCAGATCTTCTCCTCGATCATTGAGGTTCCTGTCTTGTGGCTGGAGGAAGCCTACGGAACTGCAGCCCTGGGGAGCTTGCTCAGCAGGCATGAACTTAGCCTTTTTTTGCCACAGGAAGGGAAGCAATTTAGTGTTTCTCTGTTAATAAGCAATAGCTATGAAAGGACAATTCCTGAGGCTGACAGAAGAGATGTGTCCCTCTGTTGCCATTATGTCTCTGGACTTGGGACCGGACATTGGAGCTGAGAATGCCTTCAGTTAGAGCAGAGAATGGGTGCCACCTTTCTCACACTGGGGACCCAAGTAGGTATTTCACAAAGGTGAGAGGAGCCACAGATGGATCCTGGGCAAGAAGCAAGTCAAAATCTACCTCTCAAATGAGAGTGAAAGTTTCTGTGGTTTCCTGTGATTGCTCAGTATTACCAGTTACGTCACTGTGGAAAAGGATTTCCACACTGAAAGAAGCCTGGGAGATGCTGTGGGATAAAATAAAGGGATGAGTACTTTAGGCCTCTTTCATGCCAATGGAATAAGCAGGCTGTGTTCTTTTCTCATACTTGGCTAACTATAGAATCTTTCTTTTGGAGACCTGAGAGATCCTTAAGATTCCTTTGGCAAACACTGTTCTAGAATAGTTGGTTCTAGTCCTCCTACCCTGTGCACCAAAGTTTTTCTTGAAACTTGACATTAGATACAGCTATTTAGACATTAGATACAACTATTTGTTATACAAATATGCCCCACTACCCTTGAGTATAGCACAGTGATTGTAAAATGAGTCATTCTGGAGTGTTGAGCTTCTACCCAGACCTGTGTACAGTTGGATATAGGAAAGGAACTCCAGGCCAGGCTTATGACCCAAGCAAAGGGATGATGTCTGTGGAAGACAGAGGAGAGTCTGTGAGGAGCCTGGGAAAGAGTGCTAAAGGCCTGAGATGAGACACTCTGACTTGATTCTACAGGTAGAGTGGGCAAGTAGGTGACAGAGTGTATCATTGGTATAAAAATCCACGACATTCTTAAGCTCCATGGCATTGCCTTTCTGGAATGAGACAAGTGTTGGAGGGCTAGCACCAGTGTCCCCCCCTGGTGAGGTCTTGGGTCAGTTATTTACCTTTCACACTAGCCCATCTGGCACCCCCAGTTTTTTTTTTGTCAGGTAAATGAGGATGGTCATGCCTCTCTGGGGGAAAAGAGTTCGCTTCCTCAACAGGAGTTCTGAGTTATTTAAGCCTATCACAGAAATCAAGCTAGGTCAGTGGTTAACTATGTGATCAATTTTAGGTCATGTGATGATCATAGCACTTGTAATTCATGCTTATGTCTCATCCAGGTGTCAGCAGCAGGAAAGGAGGCCTTGCCATCTTGGCTACACTGGGATCCACAGAGCCACACCTTGGAGGGCCTGCCCCTGGACACTGATAAGGGTGTGCATTACATCTCAGTGAGTGCTGCACGGCTGGGGGCCAATGGGAGCCATGTCCCTCAGACCTCCAGTGTGTTCTCCATTGAGGTCTACCCTGAAGACCATAATGAGCCACAGTCTGTGCGCACAGCCTCACCAGATCCTGGTGATGTGATGTCATCTGCCTGTACTGCTGATGAGCCAGTGACTGTCCTGACAGTGATTCTGGATGCTGACCTCACCAAGATGACCCCAAAGCAAAGGATTGAGCTCCTGCACAGGATGCGGAGCTTCTCAGAAGTGGAGCTTCACAATATGAAGTTGGTGCCAGTAGTGAATAATAGACTATTTGATATGTCAGCCTTCATGGCTGGTCCAGGAAATGCAAAGAAGGTGGTAGAGAATGGGGCTCTGCTCTCCTGGAAACTGGGCTGCTCCTTGAACCAGAATAGTGTGCCTGACATTCGTGGTGTGGAGGCTCCTGCTAGGGAGGGTGCTATGTCTGCCCAGCTTGGTTACCCTGTGGTTGGTTGGCACATTGCCAATAAGAAACCCCCTCTTCCCAAACGAATACGGAGGCAGATCCATGCCACACCTACACCTGTCACTGCCATTGGCCCCCCAACCACAGCTGTCCAGGAGCCACCATCCAGGATAGTGCCCACCCCTACATCTCCAGCCATTGCTCCTCCAACAGAGACCATGGCTCCTCCTGTCAGGGATCCTGTTCCTGGGAAGCCCACTGTCACCATTCGGACTCGAGGTGCCATTATTCAGACTCCAACTCTGGGCCCTATCCAGCCTACTCGGGTGTCAGAAGCTGGCACCACAGTTCCTGGCCAGATTCGCCCAACAATGACCATTCCTGGCTATGTGGAGCCCACAGCAGTTGTTACTCCTCCCACAACTACCACCAAGAAACCTCGAGTATCTGCGCCAAAACCAGCAACGCCTTCAACTGATTCCTCAACCACCACGACTCGCAGGCCAACCAAGAAACCACGAACACCCCGACCAGTGCCCAGGGTCACCACCAAAGCTCCCATCACCAGATTGGAAACAGCCTCTCCACCTACTCGTATCCGCACCACCACCAGTGGAGTGCCCCGTGGGGGAGAACCCAACCAGCGCCCGGAGCTCAAGAACCACATTGATAGGGTAGATGCTTGGGTGGGCACCTATTTTGAGGTGAAGATACCATCAGACACCTTCTATGACAATGAAGATACCACCACTGACAAGCTAAAACTGACCCTGAAGCTTCGGGAGCAGCAGCTGGTAGGTGAGAAGTCCTGGGTGCAGTTCAACAGCAATAGCCAGCTCATGTACGGGCTGCCTGACAGCAGCCATGTGGGCAAACATGAGTATTTCATGCATGCCACAGACAAGGGGGGCCTATCAGCTGTGGATGCTTTTGAGATCCATGTTCACAAGCGCCCTCAAGGAGACAAGGCTCCTGCAAGGTTTAAGGCCAAGTTTGCAGGTGACCCAACACAGGTGGTGAATGACATCCACAAGAAAATTGCCTTGGTGAAAAAGCTGGCCTTTGCCTTTGGGGACCGAAACTGTAGCACCATCACCCTACAGAATATCACCCGGGGCTCCATTTTGGTGGAATGGACTAACAACACACTGCCTCTGGAACCCTGCCCCAAGGAACAGATCACAGGGCTGAGCCGCAGGATTGCTGAGGATAATGGGAAACCTCGGCCTGCCTTCTCCAATGCCCTGGAGCCTGACTTTAAGGCTGTGAGCATTGCTGTGACAGGTTCTGGCAGTTGTCGGCACCTACAGTTTATCCCTGTGGCGCCGCCCAAGAGGGAGCCCTCAGAGGCACCACCCACAGAGGTGCCAGACAGGGATCCCGAGAAAAGCAGTGAGGATGACGTTTACTTACACACAGTCATTCCAGCTGTGGTAGTTGCAGCCATTCTGCTCATTGCTGGCATTATTGCCATGATCTGCTATCGCAAGAAGCGGAAGGGCAAACTGACTCTTGAGGACCAGGCCACCTTTATCAAGAAGGGAGTGCCTATCATCTTTGCAGATGAGCTGGACGACTCCAAGCCCCCACCCTCCTCCAGCATGCCACTCATCCTGCAGGAGGAGAAGGCCCCTCTCCCCCCTCCTGAGTACCCCAACCAGAGTGTGCCCGAGACCACTCCTCTGAATCAGGACACCGTGGGAGAATACACACCCCTACGGGATGAGGATCCCAATGCACCGCCCTACCAACCACCCCCACCTTTCACAGCACCCATGGAGGGCAAGGGCTCCCGTCCTAAGAACATGACCCCATACCGGTCACCACCTCCATATGTCCCTCCGTAACCCACAAGCGCCTGGGTGGAGGCAGGGGTAGGGCAGGGGTCTGGAGACAACTTGGTGTTGTCTATGGAGACCGGTGGCCAGCCGACCATCGCCCACTGGTAGCCGACACCCAACCTAGCACACACTGACACAAGGGCCTGAATAAGCCCGCCCTCTCTGATCCTCCCAAACCCCAAAGCAGCTGGAGAGACTTTGGGGACTTTTTTATTTTTATTTTTTGCCTAACAGCTTTTTGTTTGTTCATAGAAAATTCTTCGCTGCGTTTTTGATGGCTGGCTCTGAAAGCACTGTTTGAGTAGAGGTAGATGGAGGGAGCGAGGAACCGTGAATGAACTTGCAGGCAGTGCTGGGTGGCACCCAGCTCTCTGCGTTTTGCCTTTAACACTAACTGTACTGTTTTTTCTATTCACGTGTGTCTAGCTGCAGGATGTAACATGGAAAACAGTAGCTAAAGATTAAATTCAAAGGACTTTCAAATGTTAAGGTTAAGTTTTTACATTTAATCTGCTGTTTACCTAAACTTGTATGTATAATTTTAGGGTGGGTATGGGGAATTGCTTTGCTAAAAATAAGCTCCCAGGGTGTTTCAAACTTAGAGAAGACCAAGGGACAGTATTTTTTATCAAAGGAATCCTATTTTTTCACACTACGTCAACTTGGTTGCTCTGATACCCAGAGCCTGAGTAGGGTCCTCCTGGCCCTGGCTCAGGGGCCAGGGCTCTGGTGCTGGGTTTGCTCTCCTGCTGTTGCTAGGGGCTGGAAGCTGGAGGGGCTCTTGGGCCCTGGACATTCCCACCTCCCCCCCATGCACGCTAGTGGCCCACCACCAAGGGGTCTTCATTTCCAAGGAGAAGGGACTCCAAGAGACAGTGGTGGCTCTGGCCCCCAACCTAGGTGCTCCAAGGTGGGCCAGCCGCTTGTGGGGGCACCTGGGGAGGTCGAGGGACTCGACCACATCATCTATTTTCTTTATCCTTTCTCTGTGTCTTCCCCTCCCCGCTCCCAAAAGGAATATCATTGTTTTTGGAACACTCAGTGGGGGACATTTTGGTGAAGATGCAATATTTTTATGTCATGTGATGCTCTTTCCTCACTTGACCTTGGCCGCTTTGTCCCATTAGTACATCCCCACCCTGATCCACCCCGACCCACCCCGACCCACCCCATCCTTTTTCTCTGGCGCTCCAGTCCCAGGCTTGGGCCTGAACGACTGGGAAAGGTCTGGTGGCTGGGGTAGAGTGCCAGCAATAGTTCATAGTAAAAATCTGTGGGCTCTCAAAGCTAATTTTTTACTAAAGTTTTTATACAGCCTTGAATTGTTTTATTAAAAAAAGATTAAAAATGGTGATGCTTATAGCAGTTTGTATAAGCTCTTAGTGTTGATTCCATGGAACTGATGGTTTTGCTCATTTTGATCCCTCCCTCCCCCCTTTTCCTAATGGTTGAATTCTGGAATTACACTGGGGTTTTTTTTTTTTTTTTTTTCTTTTTTAGCAGAACATCCGTCCATCCATCTGCATCTCTGCCCATGACTCAGGGGCACCCACTTTGCTTTGATTCTCCTCCTTTGGAAGAAACCATTTTGAGCATGACTTTTCTTGATGTCTGAGTTATTTTGGGTACCTTTTGGGGAGGAATGCCTTTCGCAATAATGTATCCCTTCTCTGATCTAGGGTGGGTGGGTGGACCCAGGCTCCCTTTGCACACGGAGCAGCAGCTACTTCTAAGCCATATCGACTTTTGCAGAGGATGTGCTGCTTCAGGAGGGGAAGTCCACAGGAGGGGAAGGTCTATTCTGCTGTTCTCCAAAGGGCAGTTCCCCTAATGCCTTCTCCCACAGGGCCCAGCCCTCTCCTGTCCCAGCTCCCAGCAGGGTACTCTGGACCAAGCAGTACCCCTTGTGGGGGAGAGCCTGTAGATGAGGGCTCCATGAACAGCTGATGACCAGGCCTTGTGCTTCCAAGCCTGGTTCAAACTGGAGTTTCCCTGATCCCCCAGAATCAGGAACACAAGTGGGATCTGAACTGGTGAGATTATTTCTGATGACCTTGTCAAAAATAAAACAATCCCCAGTGTTCCAGGTGAGGACTTTAAAAGGCCTTCCAAATAGCTCTGTTGCCCTTAGCAACCCCACCATTGGGCATTGCCATGCAGAGATGAGGCTGGCCCAGAATGACTTGTTGCCATAGCAACTGGAGGCAACGGGGCAGTGAACAGAATAACAACAGCAACAATGCCTTTGCAGGCAGCCTCCTCCCTGAGCTCTGGGCTGGCAGTGGCTATTGGACAGAGAGCCAATCTCACATTCAAGTGTTCACCAACCACTGACGTGTTTTTATTTCCTTCTATATAATTTTAAGATGTGTTTTCTGCATTCTGTATAGAAACATATCAAAACTAAATAAAAGCAGTGTCTTTATTACAATGCCACTGTCTCTGAGCATCTATTTCCCTGGCTTCTACAGGTTCCTGGATACCAGTGGTGGGAGAATCATGTGACAAGGATGAGGAGACTTGGCCAGGCCAAGGGGCCCAATGGCCTCCACAGAATTAACCATTTCTGTATCCCTGGGAGGGCTGGGTGTATGCTCTAGAAGCTTTGCCAGTATGTAAGCCCCCCTTGGTACCTCTTCTGTCTAAGAGCTAGCTAAGGCCAATCTCCTTGATCCTCAGTATTCTTATATGGGGTGGTGGATGGCAGAGAATCTGTGAGTCTGGGTGGAGGGAAGATAGTGGAAAAAGTTCTTTTACAAGTTTCTTGCCCCAGAGTAGGGAAGCTCCTTGGGCAAGAGTCCTTCAGACTGGATCCATGTCAAGATGGGAATGGAGAGATGCTTCTGGCTGCTGCTTCACTCCAACTCCTGCCTGTACTGCCTTTGGGCTTGAGACTTTCCAGTATTCCTGGTGGTCTCAAGATGGGTTTAGTGTTGGCTTTGGAGTAGATAGAAAAGGAACAGTTTCTAGCCAGGCTGCTCTGTCCTCTCGTTTCTGCGTGGCCAACCCTAAGTGTCTGGCCTGGGAAAGAGCAGATGGGTTTATCTGGAACACTGCTCAGCATGTGGTAGACTGAGATGCAGCAGCTGTGTCTCCAGAGGGCCATTCATAGAAAAACTGGTGTTCTAGCCTCATCTCTGCCCTCACCAGCTCCTTGTCACCTACCCACCATGCACATATTCCTCTCTCTGCTCACAACCTTCAAGACCCAGAGAGAAGTCTGGTTCTGCACAACAGCTAGGTACCAAAGTGGTAAGTTGGTTCAACAACTGCTGGGAGTTAGGACAGTATATTGAAAGTGACATAACGAGGCCAGCCTGGGCTACACAGCAAGACCCTGTCTCAAAAAACAAAAGAAAGTGCCAGGGAAGGCTGTCCCCAGCATGTTTTCGGGGACATATGCCTCAACTCCTAGGCATAGCAGCAGAGGTCTAGAAAATGACACTGCCCTTGCTCTCTTGACCTCAGAAAGTTCTGCTTGACATTTAACTCATTGTCCTGAATTTGTGTAAGAGAATACCTGTTCCGAACAGAGAAGAGGAGTCCAGAGAGCTGGAAGAAAAGCTGCAAAGACTTCTGGCCTCTGCTCCACCCTACCTCCTTTGAGGGATGAGACTATCCGCTGTTTGGTTTGTTACCTCCTTGCTCCCTAGCACTCCTACCAGATCCTGTGACCTTTCCTTGGTGGAGGTAGTTCTGTCTGTCCAAGTCTTTTGAGCTAGACAAAGTGGTGTGAGGGAGAGGCAGGCAAGAAGGGGTTTATACAGGAATCTGCCTTCCTACCTACCTTTAGCCCAGAGCAATTTCCTGGGTTCTCTCTGGTATGTCTTCCCCTTCTATAAAGTTAGGACAGTACTGGACTCCAAAGGTTTGTAGGACATCCTGTGAAGGGGGGGGGCGGTGGTTGTAGCTGAGATACTGCCTTCAATGAGTCTGCCTGTAAAGGGTGCAGAGAATCCAAAAGATGTAGAGGAATCTGCATTTTTTTTTCTGGTATTGAAAGGCACTGTTGGTCAAGACTCTTGGGTCAGCCTGCCTGGCCTTCTACAGCCTTCACATACTTCCCCAATTACAGCCTCCAGTCTGTTTCCATCAGGCTGTACAGATTCTTAGGAGAAGCATTTCCCCAGCTCCTATAAAGCATGAAAGGCCCAACTCAAGCACCAATCTTTCAAGGGTGAACTTCATTCTTCTATATATTGCTATGTCTTAAAAGTCCAAATCAGTCAGTTGGTAACTTATAATTTCCCTGCTTTGCTTGCCATCTTGATCATTGTCTTGAAGCACACTACTTGAGGTCCAAGGAAGGCAGTGAAATTTTCCCAGATGTTGCAGCTACTGTAAGGCAAGTTCAGTTCTAAATGTGACTCAAAATACTTGAGGATTTTTTTTGATTATAAAATTTTGTTGGTATTGTACAACAGCAAGGAATTATATGAAGCACCCTAAGGGGTGCTGGGTAACATTTCTTTATGGGGACTCTAGAAGACACAGAGGAAGTAGGGTAAGAGGTTTATCAAAGTAAGGGTGCCCATCTGTTGGAGTTGGATGTTCCTGCAGGAGCAGCTCGCTTGAGTGCAGGTTGGAGTAGGAATGACACACACGGAGACCTGGGAGCAAGATTTGCTTGCTGGAGCACTCGTTAGCCCCACTGTCTCTACCTTTGGTGTAGGTGACCCTGGAATCTCAGCTGAGATGGGGCGAAGTTAGTCTGTTCCCGTTGAAGTTAAGTATGGCTGGGCTCAGGATGGGAGTGGGGCAACTCTCAATCTTGGTAGTGGTTCCACATCCTATCCCCAGGTGAACCCAGCAAGGACCAGTGGCCTGTTAGCAGGTTTTGGTCCAAAGAGAGGTACAGTACCCCCGCGGGCTCCCAGGAGGTGGCGCCAGAGGACTAGGCATCCAACGGTGGGTGGGGCTGAGGAGGCGGGCTTAAGAATGCCGCAGATGCAGGGAAAGTGAGAACTGGGAGAGGCCAGCTGTGGGCGAGGCAAAGAGGAGAACTCATGGAGCCTGCCCAGAGCAGAGCTGAGATGTGCGTGACTGGGCAAAAGCCTAGAAAAGGCGGGGCCGCGCGGGATTGTGAGCAGGGCTAAAGTAGTGTGGTAGGAGGAGATGATCCAGCATGGAACGTGTCTTCTCTCCACCATCACTGCACGGTCTCTGAAGACTTGAGTGTAGCTGGAGTTCGGAGCCTATCATTTACTGCGTCGTTTTCCTTTGGAAAGGGAAGCCAATGGAGGGAGGGGAAATAGGCGGGGCGAATTTAGGCCCTTGCTTTCATATGCCTTAGGCTCTTGGATTCCCAACCAATAAATCTTGAGTTGGGATGTATGTATTTGGGAACCCGTTCTTTGCTTACTCCGCTGTCTTAGCAAAAGCTTTTGCTTGCCTGCAGACTTCGTGCCACGCGTCCCGCAGCGTCCAGCTTGGGACTTTTGTTTGTTGAATTCTCTATTAGTCTGTCCTTCCTCCAGCCTGAGGATTCCTGAAGGCAATGTCAAAAGGCGGGAGATAATCTGGTATGGAAGTGTCCTCGATGGAGGCTAGGTGCATCTAGTCCAATTGCATCTGGTTGTGCAATTGGGGTTTCCCTAGCCTATACCCCTGCTGGGGCAAGACATGGCACTAGATGCAAATGGGAATGGGACAGCTGGTGACACTTTCTCTGGGTCGCTCCTACAGCAAGGTACCTTGAAGCCCCAGGGAACACTTCTCCCCAAACTGCTCTAGGCACACACCAGAACAAAAGGGAGCATCCAGATGGCAGCAGGCCAGGGCTCCTAGGGCCAGGAATGAGGACCCTTGTCTTCTATGCTTACAATGGCTCAGGCTGTAGAGGCAAAGCCCAAGTTTGGGACTTGCCAAAATGGTCAGAAACTCAGGTCAGCCTCATTTTCAGAGAATAGAACCCATGGGTCCAGGATCACTCCCTACTTCTCTTACCACCTCTGTTGTAAAAAGTCTTGGTTAAAGGGCTGGGAGCTCGTGCCTAGCAAGAGGCCCCACCAACTTGGGAGAGAGAAAGGTACAGCAGAAAGGGGATGATTCCAGCCCGTGCCATGACAGCAAGAGGTGGGAAGACCTCTGAAGGTAGATAACAGCTTATCTCTTCACATGCCTGGGCGAGGGGACCAGCTTTATCTTGGATGAACTCACCCTCACGGAATATGATCCTGGTGGGGCTGGGCAAGGATGTGGGTATTGGGGATGCTGACAGGGATACAGTCCTCTTATTGTTTGAGGAGGACATGGTGGTGGGGTGGGGTGAGGTGGAGAGCATGGCAGTGTAGTGATTATAGTGCAAATGAGAGGCTGAGGAGGCATTGACTGAGACCCCAATGGCTCTGACTCAGCAGCACTGTGCCCCTCAAGCCCTGCCCTGGGTTCCAAGCAGCACATTAACTCATTTCTGGAACTGTAGCCTCCTCAGAGGGTTCAAAGTCAGATAGTGGTAGGAGAGGGATGTACCTACCTACCCTGTGAGCCCAAGATCCCTGGCGCAGAACTAGGAATGAGGCTGAGCCTGATTGGAGTTAGCATTCTAGTAAAGATGGGGGAATGGGCAGCTCAGCTGAACACTTGGCCTTTCTGTTCTCTTGTAGCAGATGGAGTATGTTATTTGCCCAGCCTCACTAGGAATTCTCTGCACTGTCAGCTCTTTGTCAGAAAGACTGACTTTCCAGAAAGCTGATGCCCATTCCAGGCCTTCCAGCTGGAGAGGTTATTAATACATAAATACCAGTGGTAACCCAGATGTTGCTATCCACTTGATACCTGTTCCCACTCAGCCCCAGAGCCTGGGAGATCCAGGGAGGCTTTTCCTTAGACAATCCTAATGCTGAGTGTGACTTCAGCCTTCATGGCCTAGGCTGGTGGCCATGCCCACTACTGCAAGGCAGGACAATGGCCAAGCACTGAGGGCTACAGTCAAGCCCTCTGGGTTCAGAGTAAAGACGAGACTTGGCCTTTGCTTAATGAAGGTAGAGTAGGCTCAACAGTCTGGATTCCCGCTGTATTTCTAGGGCCTAGTATCAGTCAAATTTAACTGAATTGAAATCATCCATCCTGGCAGAGGCCTAGGGGAACTTTGCCATAAAGGTCTTATTGACTTTTCTACTTGACACAAGTGTTTGGCTGCACCATCAGGGACTTATTCCCTGTCCCATTCTGTGTATCTTTTCCTGGGAGACAGGAGCAAAAGAGCTCAGTAAAGATGATAGACAAAATGAGCCCTACTATAATCCATTCTGACTAGGACACATGTGGAACTCAGTGAAGAGAGTGGCTATGTCCCAAGACCTGAGATTCCTGGTTAAATGGTGATTATCAGTAATGTCCTTGGGTTTGCAGAAGGAGAGCCTAGGAGGGATCAAGAGGTAAGACCCTTCTTACTAAGAGACTTTCTAGAAGACATACAGAACTGGGTGAGAG